AGAGTTTACTTTGTGAGTGACTTGTCTTGAAAATCCGACTGTGATGGGCCTGATGTGGCTCCATCTGCTCCTAGTACTTGTCACTGTGTATTTTTTTTTTCAAGCCTCTTTTGTGCCGTCCTCCCACATTAGTGGAGAGCAGTTAGCTTGACCACGGGGATTTGATTTAAACAGAATCAAGTTAAGAGTCAGGTTTGTGCGTTGTCATCCTGGGCCACACTTGGATGTCAGATAAATGTTTGGTGATATTTTACTACAACTAGAAACAGAATTAAACACAATAAGTCAGAAATAAACTTCATACTTCAAAGTTTTCCTGTACTAATACTGAGGCCTTTCATTTCCTTTTTTTTTTTTTTACAGATTTTTAGAGATATCTGTATGGAAATGCCATGGTTCTCCACCTGTTTCAAATTACATCTTCCTGATGTCATATCTTTCTTTTTTTTCTTTTTTTGTGCATTTCATGATGATGATTTTCAAATGGAAAACAGATAAAAACCACTGCAGCAGCCTGCAGGCAGCAGTGACGTCTCAGTGTAAACACCTAACAGCATCAGTCTGCAGATACACGTGTGGACCAGAGATCAGAGGATGAAAACTACTAATGTAACCAACACCATGTCATGGACTGTTAACCTGACAGGAAATAAAACAGCTGGATCTTATTGTATGTTTTGTAGAGTTTTTTGTGTGTTTTCTCTCACGTGCACAGACATTAAACGCTCAGAGCTCTTGTCTCTTACTCCAGGTCATGCTGTGATTCCTAAATACTACTACGTACCCGCTGATTTTGTGGAGGCTGAGCAGAACAAACGCGGGAGCCAGAAGCGTTTCCCTAGCAACTCTGGACGTGATGGGAAGCTGTTCCTGTGGGGTCAGGCCCTCTACAACATCGCCAAGTTGTTGGGTACGTCTGTGTGTGTGCATTTAGCTGTATACGTACGGTAGCTCAAATTATGGATTTATTTATTCAGTAAATGATGGGAAGACGTACTTTTTGGTAGAAACGAGGAGCTTCACTGTGCATAAATGAATATTTTCCATTCTCAAACCCACAGTTTCTGTCATCAAGATGTGCTGTATGTCGACTCATTCACTTGTATCCCATATAGTGTTGATTTACTGATATTTACGACCATATAAATGAGAGGGAAGATTAGACTCTAGGCAACTCATCAGGAAAAACCCCACAGCTCACCAAATCTCACAAAAAAATCACTTCATAACTGACTAAAATCTCGGCCTGTTTAGTTGAAGACCACGCTGATATACCGGCAGGAATTGAAGAAAGACACAATGCTCTTCAACAGCTCTATTTTATTTTTCATAGCTATCTGCTGCCCCCTAGCAGAAGAGTTTTTAATTGTTCTGCCTTTCATACTTTGATGAGCAAAGAAAAATTATATGAAAATAAATAAATAAATAATAGTTTTTAAGGCCAGTGAAGTGAAAGTGGATCATTTCTCACGGCACACTCGTGTGCCACGGCCCAGAGGTTGAGAATCACTGCACTGTTGTATGACCGTGTCTGTACGTGTGTGCTCCCCTCAGTGGATGAGCTGATCAGCCCGAAGGACATCGATCCGATCCAACGCCACGTGTCCCGTCAGGATCAGCGCAACGTCAGCATGAGATACTCCAATCAGGTGAGTTTTCCCGCGCCGCTCTCGCTGGTTTTCACGACCCCATCAATAGCAGCCGGCGTCGGCGAGGCATTCGTTCTCCTCGTGCCTCTGCAGTCAAGTGCACCTTGTAAAAGTTTAACTCGCCCTTATAAATGTTACTTAACAGAGCATTTAAGTGCTGATCAAGTCGATGTAATTGACTTCCTTCTGCAAACGGCGCAGAGTGAGAAGCCGTCTGTGTGTGGACTGTCAGCTGACGATGACGGGAACGGTTAAAAATTATGGGCTGAGAGAAAAAAACTAATTTGAAAAATAATATACTTTGTAATGATTTCATTTGTTAAGAGGTCAGACAGTGAAAGTGAAGGTGTGACACTGAGTCATGATGATTATAATCATTATGAATCAGGTGGATGCAGAGAGTGGTCACTACAAATTCAACACAGTCAAAATGATATGAATCTTCTTTTGTTGCTAATTTAACAAATGAAGAGAAAAAGGCAGAAATGATGGAAACCTTAGAAACATTAAAGGTTTTCACAAGAACATCTGAGAGTTGGGATGTGAAGAGGAAAAAAAAAATCTATTGTGACCCACCTGAGGGTCGCGACCCAGTCTTTGGGAAACAATGTCGCACAGAAAGTGTAAAGTCAAGACCTTTTGTCTTACACTGGAATGAATCGACTTTTACAGTCAGAGAGAATGAAATTGGAAAAACAATAGAATTTACTAGGACTGTACTTTTGGGTATTTTAGTTTGACTTGATACAAGTTGATTATTTTGTAGATATAAAAACAAGTAGAAAATTCATATAGGAAACTGAAATTCCCTCGACGTATCGTGTCGTAGAGGGAAAATCCAGATTTCCCTGCGTTGTTGTACTTCCTGCGTTGTTGGTCACCAATAGTTACACCTTGTAACATCAGTCTCTCACTGGGGTTTGTCATCAACTTGAAAAATTCTTTGACATTTGTTGTTGTCTTGGGCTGCTGTGGCACTAATGTCTGATGATAATTCTTTTTTTTTTATTTTTCTGTGCCAATACAAACGTGTCTGGGCTGGTCTTTTTTTTTTTTTTTTTCTTCAGGGTTTTCCTTGTTGAATTATTAAATACAGAAAACTGATTTTGGTGGATTTGAACTCACCATTAGTGATTATGACCAAACTAGTCTGGGTCCTGAACCGGACCAGGACTGAGACACTGAGTCTGAAGAGACGTTGGCTGATGTTTCTGCTTCTGATGGTGTTGGTTAGCTGACAACAGTGGAACAGTGGAACAGTGGAACAGCGCCGACTCACCACTGCCGACTGTCTGAACCCACTGCGTCTGTGTCTTTCTTCTCTCTCTCTCTGGCAGAAGTTCACTGATATCAGACTTCTTTTTTTTTTTCTTCCTCCGATCTCGTCTTGACGTGCACAGTTAGCCTTTGACAGGGTTTTCATCCACCTACTATTACTCACCTCTCCTGAAAACACCCTAATCAGTGAGGTTCTTCTGAAGTGTTCAGTGTGGAGAACAGCAGTCTTCTGGAGTTTCTTGGAGTTTCTGTTTTATCCTTTAGAAATGCTGCTTTAACAGATGAAAAAAAGTTACCATTCCGTTTTTTTTTCTCTGTTTATACCAGTTTTTTTTTTGCTCAGAACCCGATTGTCAAATTAAATCAGTCTCTTTATTTGAATAGTTTAATGAAACTCGTACTAAACTATTTGAGTTTCTCAACATGAGAAAACTTCACCAACATTTTTTGCCGTTCAATGCAGAATATCAGCTCAAGGCTAATTCTATATACCATTAGTGTCCAAAGTGGGGGGCGTACCCCCTTAGAAGGCGCAGAGCTATTGTAGGGTGGGACGCAGCAAGAATGTATTTCATTTTAAATTGGAAGTAGCAGTTTAAATATCGAGGGGAGTCTGCTAGTCAATAGTGAATGCAATTGTGTGAACGGCTCAATAATATCCATCCTATCTACAAAAAGGGGGCGCTAGAGATACAGTTGGGAAACCATTGCTTCAGGACAGAGAGCAGTTGATGTTTCTCTGTTGCACAAAAAAAGAAAATACTTGGACCGAAACAAATCTTGTCTTTTGACCAGAATATTTTACCACCGTTTTATTACAGTGTGTTGAAGCTGGATTCTTGTGCAGCTTGATCGCCCTCTGATGGAAGCAGACGTTAATCTGTCTGCAGCCAATCAGAATTTCCTGTGTACAGTTACATAAAACTGAAAAAAGAAGTGTAGATTTGATTTTTTTTTTAATTCTATAAGCTGTTACTAACCCTAGTCCTGGGTACCTGGGTGTGTGGGTGAGGAGGAGGAGGAGGAGGAGGAGGTGGAGGTGCTGAATTCAGTCCACCCACACCAGCATCAAGGTGAATGTTTCGAGCGCTGCCGTGACATGAGCTTTTTTTTTTTTTTGAAGTGCCGATGAACGGGGGCACAGAGCGCTGGGTAAAAGATTGCTCAGTACTCATGAAAGCCCATTAACACTTTTAACCTCATCGATTTCTTCAACACGTTCCCACAGTAAAAACACTGACACTATACAGTACACACACACACACACACACACACATAATTATCTTGACTTCACAACTGCCAGTGGTCGACATCAGACGATCAATGTGAAGCCATTGTAGTGATGTCTCCGGTGGCGGCTCTCGAACGTCGATCCTACATCACACTGTAGGATCAGTGTAACGACGGCCGTCGTGATTGGCTGGTGACCAGAGACGGTGTGAAAGTGGAAACGCTGTGGCTGTCAGGTGTTTCTTAACACCGACTCTTAATGATTCTTATGTCAGCTGTGCATTTGCCGGAGTTGAAAACTCTTTGCAGAAACAGTTTTTTGCAGATTCACCAAAAAAATAAAATAAAATAAATAATAAATAAATAAAAAAACTGCGCAGCAGCTGAATGAGAATGTGCCGAGGGACCAGAAGGAGAAATGATTGTGCAGGTGTGTTGAGACATACAGTATGAATGTAAACCTGGGAGATTTTTTTTTTTTTTTTTTACTTTTGGCAACATTCACTGATTTTCTCCATCGTGGCCCATTTGTTTGGCTGTCCTGCGTTTGACAGTTTGTACTGAACAGAACGAGCCGAGAAGAATGGAGCATTTGGCTGATTCAGTCTGAAAATTATATAAATGAATTACATTTAAAAAAAAAGAGAGAGAGAGAGAGAGAGAGAGAGAGAGAGAGAGAATACCACGGATACTGTTTATGAGGCAGACGCAGTTATTTGACTTCATATAATAAATTGGAGCAGATTGTAGTTTACTTTTCTGTGATAAATATCCTGCCCTCGTCCTGGGTTAATAAAATGAGGTTGTTTATGTCCATGGCCTGTTTCTACGTTGAACATCCTGCACACGCTCACACTGCCCCACTAACTGTAGACTTCAGTTACATTCAGTCTGAGTTTCCTCTGTTTCCTTCATTTTTTTAGTTTTTCCTCCTATTTCCTTTTTTTCTATTTTCCTTTTTTTTTTTTGTGTCCACCACTTTATCTGATTACCTGTATTTAGTCTGCAACAACACAGAAGAACACAGCAGCTGTCACTTCCTGTTTCAGGCTAAACCTTTTTTTTTTGTTTTTTTTCCAAAAATCAACATAATTATGGTACCAGAGTGTCAACAAAAACACCTTGCTTCAGCTAAAATATGAACTTTTTTTTTTCTTTCTTTTTTCCTTGGTTGGACACAGATTGTAACAGCAATTAGCATTTAAGAAAAAACAAAAAAAATTAAACCTGCATCTCTGTTTACAAATCTGAGTTCTTCTGGGTTTGTGCTCCTCTGTGCACGTCTGTATGTTATTCATACCTCGATTTCCTCCGTCGCTGCATCCTTCTATCCCACAGCTGGGCAAGAATGCAAATGCAATTGCAATGTATGGCATGAAACGAAACCCCAAAAATAGGTTAGAGCCCGGGCCGGGTGTGTGGTATTATAGCGCCAGGTAAACCTCGGTGGTTACATCAGACGATGTCGCTGCTTGAGGAATAGATTTTTTTTTGGTGCGAAGGAGCAGGAGAGGTTGGGCTCTGTGTGACATGTGAATCATTTTCACGGAAATATCTACAACATTCATTTCTGACAGATCCAATTTCGAAAGTGTTAAAAACAGCGGGATCTTCTGCACTACATTAGGCACTGAGCGACAGTCGCTGCAAAGAAATGTTTACGTAGACACTCTTAATAGCTTCTCCCTGAATACAAATCAGCGCCTTTGTTGATTTGCTCATTTTTCCCCCTGTTATTCACATTTAATTCCACCGCTACACAAAGCCGCTGCCGCCGCCGCGGCTCCACTCCCCGTGGCGCCCTGCAGTCTAAGTGACTCCAGTAGGTTGCAGCTGACGTGGCAACTCTTTGTAATTTTGCACGTGTTTGGGTCCGTGTTGGGAATTTGCGCGAAGACAGCGTCAGTGTTTATACGACGAGTCTAAATTTAATTGTGACAACGCAGCACATATCCACACACACACGGCACATGTGGGAAATTGGCCTCGCACTCTTGGACCCCACAGTGGGTTCAGACAGGATGCATTAAATTTGCATTGCATGTGCATCAGAGCAGGAAGGAAAAGTGGTCTTTGCCTGAAACGACTCAACTCAAAGCTGCGATTTAGTTGGTGAATGAGGGTCTGAATGCATTTTTAATGCGTAGTACATGAGGGTTTTGCCACCATAAGGAACCCGAATCATTTTGAATAAAATATAAAGATGTAACATGAAGTGACACATCTGAAATATGAAAGCAAAATCAGCAAAAAAAAAAACCCAAAACAAAACAGGTAAAACCCATTAATGCTGCACAGCTGGACCCTCTGAGCCTGTTGCATGTTTTTTTTTTTTTTAAAGCCCACCTGAGAATATAAATGTAATATTTTCTCATGCAGCACTTACTGTACCAAACAGCAGTGGTCAGCCGCGCTGGTGTGTGTAACAACAACAACAGACCTCTCGAGCTGCGGCTCGTCATAAGTGTTGCGTGACTTACCGCTGAGAAGC